TAGCTGCCACTAGGAGAAAGCTCACAGCATATTAAATGACTCTTGTTTCTAAAAGGAGCCTTAAGCCACAATGGGCCTGTGCCCAAGTGCCTGCCAGACCATGTGTGGGACAGTAGAGCCGAACACTAGCACCCACGGCTTCAGCCTTCCTGGGAATCAGGATGCACCTGTCGTAGCACTGAGTTATTCACTGAGTTAAAGGGGGAGAGCGTTAACACATACTTAATAAGGAGCTCTGTGGTGTAGTGATTAAAGCATTGGCCTGCCAACCAGAAGGTTGGTAGTTCAAACCCACCAGGTGCCCCACAGAAGGAGGGTGAGACAGTCTGCTTCTGTAAGGATTTCCAGCCTTGGAAACTCTATGGGGCAGTTCTACTCTGTCCTACAGAGTCACTATGAGCCAGATTGGACTCAATGGCTGTTGTTGTTGTTGTGTTTGCCATCAAATTGGATCCTACTCATAGCAACCCCTCCTTGGGTTTCCGAGGCAGTATCACTACAGAAGTAGATTGCCCAACCTTCCTTCCAAGGAGTGGCTGGTGGGTTTGAACCGTCAGCCTTCTGGTTAGCAGTCAAATGCCTTAGGCACTACACCACCAGAGCTCCCAGACTCGATGGCAATGGATTTTAATATACATTTAAGCTCATGGTTTAGCTATTAGTTTATATAAAGTGAAAAAGAATAAGCCCCAATTTTATTCTTTTTTTTAGTTGTCTTTGTTCTAAAACAAAGTACCCTTGTTAGAAGGCCTTCTTGGACGATGGCGCCTGTAAACAGCCTTCGGCGCACGCTGCCTGCCCCTTACTCATTTGCTCCCCGCTGCAGCCCCGTGAGGGTGGTGTCAATACTGCGTCGTCATCATCTGTGCTGTTCAGGAGTCACTCTGAGGCCCAGAGGGGACGTTTGGCCCAAGGGTCCCAGGTCCGGCTGTTGGGTGAGCACTTAGGGTCACAGTCGTCTGTCCCTGGGCTGTCCCCACTCCCAGCTGTGGGGTGTGTACAGAAGGGCTGGGCTGCACTGCCTGTCACCCAGGCCCAGCACACCTGGGCTTCTGCAGGTCACCTGGGCTCCCAGCAAGAGTTGTTCTAGCCTCATGGTCCCTGCAGGGGCCAGGTGAACCCCACAGTGTTGCCACGGTCCTCCTGGAGGCAAGCCCACCCTGGTGTGGTCCGCATGCCGAATTCGCACACACTCCAGCTCCCTGCCCTCGCCTGTGGAACAGGACGCGTGTGGATGGCTTGGCTAGGGAAATGCTCTCTATTGCCATCTTCATGCAGGACCCACATATCTGTCCTCTGAACCCTCAGGACCTCCTTATGCCACCGGGTCAAGTATCTTCCTCCTCCTTCTCTTCCTCATGGCCCCGGCCAGGGGAGAGGGCAAACCCCGTCACCATTAGAAGGCCCTCAGAGTTGTGTGTGGGCTGGTGCCTGACTGGGCCCTGTCCCAGCAGGCCATGGGCTTGCCGCCTGCTGGCTCCTAGGCTCCTCCTCCCTGCAGATTGCTCCAGGCCTGGCCCCCCAGGCTTGAGTGATAGGGAGGCTCATGCCACTCCCCCCTGTAACCAAGCAGACAGTGTGGGATGTCAGAGTGAACTGGGGAGGAGGGGGAGCCGTGGGAGGGGAGGAGAAGGTCTGGGCCTGGTACTCTCACCCTGGCCTTCTACTCTGAAAGAGACCAGCAGAGGCTTGCATTTCAGCAAAATCCCTGCCCTGCTTGGAGAATGGGCTATTGGCCAGGCAAGGGCAGGTGTGAGGTGACCACTAGGAGGCCCCTGCTGGAGCCTAAGTGAGGGGCTGTGCTTGGACCCGAAGCCGGAGCTGGTGAGAAGCGGCCGGGTGCAGTTCTTTTTCGAAGGTAGGGCCACAGACTTACCTTGTGGTATGAGAGGACAGGGCCACGGGTGGGGGGACTCCCAAGGTGCGGCCGGAGCTTCTAAAAGAATGGGAGGACCCATCTATCACACACACACACACACACACACCCAAACTCGGGGTCACTGGTCAGTCCCCCAGGTTCCAGCAGGATGTTGGGGGGGTCTTCCCCAGGAGCATGTTCTGGGCAGCCAGAGAAGCGGCAGATCCAGGTGGTAGGTCAGCCCCCACGTAGACTAGAGCCAGTCAAGGTGCCTGGAAGACAGGACGGGGAGCCCCACGGAGCAGACAGCAGCCGGGGCAGGGCTAGCCCACAGAGGGCCCACCTCTGGGGGCCCACAGAGCAGACTCTGCCCTCCAGGCCCCTCCGTCTACCAAGGACAGTTGCAGCCCAGGTGAGGCACCCTGAAGTCTGTAGCAGGGGAGGTCGGGCAGGCTGGGGTGGGTGTGTCAGTCCTGCTGCAGGGATCTGGGGGCCCCTGGAGGAGGCAGCACAAGGCTCAAGTAGAGCTGGTTGGCGGGCACCACAGCCGGCGGTGTGGGAAATGGGTCGGGCAGGGGGCTGGGCCAGGGCGCAGCCTCGAAGCCTCAGGCCAGCATTTCAGAGGCAGTACCTACCCGTGCAGATCCAGGTCCGAAAGCCCTTCACGGCCGGGACTGCTCTGGAGGTTTCTCGGAGGTCCGTCTGGTTCATGACCCAGGAGGTCCCATGGCGGTGCATGAGGCCAACGTCAGTGGGACAGTTGGTGAGAGGCCCAGAGTGTCCGCTCTTATCTCGGGGCCGGGGCAGGCTCCTGTCGAGCTGACCACAGTGCTGCTTCTGACAGCTGGCCCACTTGGGGCCTGGGGAGGTGGGTAAAAATAGATTCTAGCATGGTCTAAAATCAGATGGTGAACAGGGAGCCAGATGGTGCTGGTTCCTGTGTACAGGGGGTGGTTGGACTATTTTGAATGTGCAAAGGGCTATTTAAAGTTGTAATTGAGTGAAAAGCTGCCTTTTCCAGGAGAAGCTATGCCTCCTGCCCCCGCCCTATGGTGTTTGGAAGAGACTGGGACCCCCATGGTGCTGGGCAGCCCAGTGCAAAACTTGGGTGATGGGAATAAAGCATGGTACTTGATCAGGCCCATCCCAGAGGGACCCCGGGGAGCTCAGCACACCCATCACTGCACCAGGGGTTCCCTCTTGCCCTTGGATGCCTGAGATGGCACCTGAGTTTCTTCTGACATGGCTCGGCTTCAGAGCTTGTCTGGTCTGCAGGGTTGGGCAAGCAGGTACCTGGGACAGGTGTACGCAGAGACAGGTGCTCCCCTAGCAGGTGTCACAACCGGCACTTCTGGCCCCTCCCCCCTCTGGATGGGAGCTGGCAGGCAGCAGCGCGCCTCTCCCCTCCCAGTGGTCCTCTTCCCTGTGGGAGCTTCCCCTTCAAGGTCAACGTGAGGCCGTGGTTTGAGGACAATGAGTGCTTCCTGGCCTCTCCCCGCTGAGCGTGGCCCACCTGGCTCTGTGCTCCAGCACCTCCCTGACCCCACACACCCTGACCTGGCCAACCCCCTTCCTGGGCTGATCCCCAGAGACTCTTCTCAACGAGGTCCTGGCTGAGTGGGGCAGGCTGCCAACGGGGCACAGTGGCTTCTCCTGGGCGGTGTGTGTGACCATGCCATGCCCACCTGTGGAGCCAGGGGACTGTCCTGAGTCCCCACACAGTCCTTCCTGCCTTCACAGGGTGTGTGCTCTGAGTTTGGGCTTCTTCCTGTGAAAATGAAGCTGGCCTGCCACTTCCTTCGTGGAAGGGGGTAATGAAACCCTGGGAGTCCCTGGCTGGGGGTTCTCACCACACGAAGGGGGCTCAGGATATGCCCCATTCCCTCCCTGTCGTCACCTCTAGGGCCCAGACCTGTGAGAGGCGGCATCCATGGAATGATACCAGCTTGCGGTGAATTGTGAGGACAGCATGGTGATGAGCATGGTGGGTGGGCAGCCGCTGCCCCAGCAATCCACCGGGGAGCCTGGGAGTCCAAGCGCAGTGGTAGGACAGAGTATGACAGTCAGACACCTGACTGTGCAAAGGGCTATTTAAAGTTGCAAGTTTAAATAGTTTAAACTTTTAAACTAGTTTGGGCAGAGGTCCTGGCCCAGCAGCAGGGCCCTTGTTCAGCCCGTGTTCCCACCGTCTTGGACCCAGTTAGAGCATCTATGGGTGCATGGAGCATGGAGTCATCTCCCCAGCCCCTCTTGGAGTCCAGGCGACCCACCCCAACACTCAGCAGTTCTCTGCCCTTCCAGTGACAGGGGACACCTGGTGGTTCTGAGCTGTCACTGGAAGCCAGGCTAGGCTGGGTGCCAGCTCCACGGACCCACCTGAAGCTTGAGATGGTGCCCTGAGCCACACACAGGACCAAGGATAGAGCCAGGCTGACCCCACGCCCTGCTCTTCCGTCTGGGGAGTGGCAGTATTGTCGGGATTAGGATTAGGGGCAGCAGATGCGATTAGCGTTTGTCCTCTTTCCTTCTGGGCACTGCCAGGCACGGATTTCTAACCGGGGACATGTCCCTCCCATGAGATGCCTTTGAGGGCCATCACTCAGGTGGCAAAGCTGCCTCCCATGAAGCGTGTGCCCCTTGCCCCCTGACACAGTCTCCCCTGGGCGGGCCACCCTCCCAGGCTCCGCCTTAGCGGGGCCTGCCAACACCCCCAGCATCCACGAGCAGGGCAGCCCTGAGGCAGGCCCCCCATCTTTTCCGTGCCAAGTCTCCTTCGGGTCTACTCAGTGGCTCCCCCACCTCCCCACTGGTCTCCCCTACATCTTGGGCTCCCATGCAGCCCTCTTGGCAGCCCTGGAGAACAGAGGGGCTGGGAGACGGGTCCTCTGTCCCCACCCTCAGGATGATCGCCTGGACAGCTCACAGAATCAGGGGCTCTGTAGGAGTGTGGCGGCTGTCCCTTCCATTCCACTCACGATGACGTTTCTGGACAGGTCACAGACTTGAGATTCAAGCTCCTGGCTGGACTCCCCACTCTGCCCATCCCCACCCTTTGCTGTGATTTGGGACGTGTACGGTGTGGGTAAGGGGACTTTGGCTGCCTCCTCCTGCTCAGGGCTAGACCCTAGCTCTCTGGCCCCAGGAACAGCAGTTGCTGAGCCCAGAGGGCGGTGTGGCCGTGCTCAGCCCTTGGCTCAGTGAGCCCTCCCTGAGTCCCAGCCCCGCCCAGTCAGCGCCCCTGTCAGCCCCAGGCCTAATCCAGCTTAGCCACCTCAGCAACACGCAGCCCAGCTCAGCATTCCAGGGCAGCAGAGCCAGGCCGCCGGCCCCTCACCGTGCGGCCCGGATGGGGCCTGGGAGAGGCCAGAGGCAGGAGAGGAGACCCTTTGAGTTGGGGATGGACACCAGGTAGGCATATCGGAGCAAGCAGGCTCCCAGCAGCCCACGGGTCAGCCCCTCCTCAGTCACCAGGACAGCTCGTCTGCTGTAGATGATACCCCCCCACACCCCTGTGGTGGCAGTGGCCGAGGCCTTTGTCCAGCCATGTGAGCCTCTCGATATTAGGGTACAGCAGCTTCTACCTATTCAGGTGACTATGACTCTCTGTGACCTGTGTGTCCCCAGCCACATGTGGCCTGTGAGGCCCGGCTGTCCTCAGGAGTGCTGTGGTAGCTTTGAGGTAGGGGTCATACATGGCCAGGTCCTTGGCAGCAGCCCTCGTGCTTGGTATGAGCGAGGTCGTCAGCAGGGGGAGAGGTGCTGGGAGAAACGGCGCCTGAGGCCAGGGCGTCCTGCTGCTTGAACTGGATTATTCCTGACACTGTGCTAATGAGCTCTCCCAGGAGCCCAGCCCCACACCAAGAGGGGCCATGGATCCCACGCTGCCCCTGCCCTCTAGACCTAGTGCTTCCAAAACAGAGCTGTGGAGACAGGCATCGGGGTGCACAGGGACTCTGACTCCAGCCCCACACAATGCCTGATGGCCTTAGGCAAGTCCCTCGGCCTCTCGAAGCCTCTGTGTCCTCCTTGGTCTCTGGCTGTAGAAACTGCTACCTCAATGCTTGTGAGTCCCCCCAGATGGTCCCGGATCCACAGCAGTGGGAGGCCTGAGGGAGGAGGACAGACATCTGAAGAGGCAGGTGTGTTTGGGATTGAGACGAGGAAGGGCAGGAAGACATGATTCCAGGTGGGCCATGAGAGGTGTGGGAGGGGTAGAGGCCCAGAAGATGAGGCTGGAGAGGATCTGGGGACAGGTCTGTGAGAGGCCACCTGCTGTCCCGGTGCATGGGGCAACCAGCACTCCATTTTCCCACAGAAGAGAAATGGTGACATATGTCTTGTTTACAGCCCCTGAACATCGAGGGTAGGAAGGAGGGGCCCTAATTCATCTTCACTCCATGATCATCTTTCCGTTTGCCTTTAAGGAGCCTGGTAGCGCAGTGGTGAAAGTGCTTGGCTGCTAACCAAAAAGATCGGTGGTTCGAACCCACCAGCAGCTCTGTGGGAGAAAGATGAGGCAGTCTGCTTCTGTAAGGATACACAGCCTTGGAAAACCCTATAGGGCAGTTCTACTCTGTCTTATAGGGTCACTAGGAGTTGGAATCGGTCACGGGTTTTGTTTTGTTTTGATTTGATTTGTCACTGTTGCTAGGAAGCCTAGAGGCCATATTTTGTTGTTGTTGTTATGTGCCGTCGAGTCGGCCCCAACTCATAGCGACCCCTCCTTGGGTTTCCGAGGCAGTATCACTACGGAAGTAGGATTGCCCAACCTTCCTTCC